CTCCCACCTGGAGAGGGGAGTCCCCAGTACCCTAGGTGCAGAGGTATATGAGCCCCCCACCTGACACCCAGGATAGAAGGGTCTCCCCCATAAAGAAGGGAGTCCCCTCTACCCTGGGTGTTGTGCTATAGGAGCCCACTCCCTACACCCAGGTTAGAGGGGTCTCCCTTTTGGAGGGGGGAGTCCCCTTTACCCTGGTTGTGGTGGTATACGGCCCCCCATGACACCAAGGTTAGAGGGGTCTCCTCCCTGGAGAGGGGAGTCCCCTCTACCCGGTGCGGAGGTATATGAGCCCCCCCCGCCCCCCCCCCTCAACACCCAGGATACAAGGATCTTCCCCCTAAAGAAGGGAGTCCCCTCTACCCTGGGTGTTATGGTATAGGAGCCCACCCCCAACACCCAGGTTAGAGGGGGGTCCCTATGGGAAGGGGGAACCCACTCTACCCTGGTTGCAGTGGTATAGGAGCCCCCCAGACATCCAGGTTAAAGGGGTCTCCCCTCTGAAGGGGGAGTCCCCTCTACCCTGGGCGGGGGGTATCCCCTCCCAACACCCAGGTTAGAAGGGTCATTGCCCTTTTGGGGGAGTACCCACTATCCTGGGCATCCGGGGGAGCCCCGGCAGATGCCCAGGTTATAGGGGTCTCTGTCCTAGAGGTGGGAGCTCCCCCAACACCCAGGTAGAGGGAAGTCACCCCTGGAGGGGGTCCCCTCTACCCTGGTGTGGTACGAGTTAACCCCCAACGCACAAGTTAGAGGGGTCTCCCCCCCTGAAGGGTGGAGTCCCCTCTACCCTGGGTGCAATGGTATAGAGGCTCCCCCTGACACACAGGTTAGAGGGGTCTCCCCCATGTAGGGTGAGTCCCTTCTACCATGGGTGCGATGGTATACAAGCTCAGCTCAACACCGAGGTTAGAGGGGTCTTCCCCCAGGAGGGGGGAGTCCCCTCTACCTTTTATGGTGTGTGGCGGCCGGAGCTCCCTCCGACATCCAGGTTAGAGGGGTCTGCCCCCGGGAGGGGGAAATTCCCTCTACTCTGGGTGCGTTGGGAGCTCCCCACCCCCCAACACCCAGGTTAGAGGTGCCTCCCTCCTGGAGGCGGGGGGGGGGGGGAGTCCCCTCCACCCTGGGTGCGATGGTGTGGGAGCTCTCCTTGACACCCAGGTAGGAGGGGTCTTCCCCTTGGAAGGCGGAGACCAATCCACCTTGGTATTGGTCCAATGGTATTCAAAKAGCCAGCCCCCGACACTCAAGTTAGAGGGATGTCCCCCCTTGGAGGGTGGAGTCCCCTCTACCATAAGTGCAATGGTTTGGGAGCTCCCCCGGACACCCAGTTTAGAGGGGTCTCCCCCCTGGAGGGGCAGTACCCTCT